AAAAGACTATAGCATTCTTAATATGAGTGACATTAATATATATTAATAAAAAAGATAAAATGATATGTAAAAAATTAATTAAAATTATTAGTTTTATAAGCCAATAAAATGACAAAAAAGTCTAACAAATTAAAATAGATATTTAGTTAAAGGAAAAAGTACATTTGGTTGATAAAAATAAAACATGTAAAATAATTGATTTATTAAAAAATGTATAAGTGTATTTATTAATGAATTTATCATATTTTCTCTATACCAAAATAACTATTTTTTTTTTTTACTTTGTCTCTAAAATAAATATTTAAGGACAATTTCTATATTTATCTACAATACCCTTAAAAAAGAAATAAAAGATAAGAAAAGAGTCTTTATAATTAGATGATTAATTAAAATAAATAGATAATAATAATGACATAGGAAAAAAATATATATCTACCTCAAAAAAAACGATGACAATTAATTTTAGATAAATTTAAAATAAAACATATTTATTTTTATTAATAATTTTTTAATATTTAAATTAATCCAAAATTTTTAATTAAAAAACTATTATAAAATTAAATAATTAATATAAAAGACATAAAAATAATCCCGTGCAATGCACGGGCTAAAAAAAAAAATTAGTTAGAGATGAAAAGCCTCCAATCTACATAAGACATGCATTTATTTCAGATTAGTCCATCGATTAGCTTGCTTTGATTTGCTTTTTTCTTTAATCTCTTGGCCTGCAATTAATAAGCTTATAAATTATATGAACACTGGCCAACTTAACCCTTGTTGCCAGGGGTCCTTGGTAACGGAATGATTTTTGTCATCAGCAGCTTAATCTCTCAATCTTTTTGTTGCATAGAAAGCTTGGAAAAAATAGTGTAAAGTACTCAGTTTTCAAACAAAAACCCTGGGGGGTAACATTCCTATTATTGACATCAAAGGATTGTTCACTGACCATATAATTCAGGGAACCAATGTATATATCACCACATGAACTAAAATGATTTGGGCGCTGTTAATGTTGCCGTTCTTTTTTGAAGAACCTCATTAAATGGAAAGCCTTTTCTTGGAGTTCTTCACTGCGTAGAGGAGAATGACTAAAATTATCTATGTATCTCTGGAAAAAAAAGAAAAAAGAAAAAAGAAAAAAAGAAGCAATGTTGTTTTATAAAGACTGATGACGTGGAAGAGAAAAGAGCCACAGTGGCAGCATTGGACTTATGTGGAACTAGAACTGACCCTGAAGGGATCACTGAAGCGTGAGATGAGTGTCATGTCTAGGGTCAACCACCACATCCACACTAGACAAACTTTCATAATTCCACTCGAAGGGGGAAGTGGCTGCTTTCCTGATTCTGTCTGCTGCCCACTTTCAAAAGCAATCACCAATCGAGTAATCGACTTTAACCTTGGCCCCACGAAACTCCTTCACCCACTCTAGAAATTGTGCTAAAATTCAAATGGACTCCAATCAATACTTGAACCGTGCAATTCAAGAACCAAATCCTAGCCAAGAAGCTTTTGATTACTCCATTTTTTTCTTCTACCTAATAAAAACACCTTTACCTCACATGGGACAACCTGTGCACAGTGTACACCCACCTTATATTGCTTTACTTTCTCGGTACTTAAATTAGTAATGAGTAGACAAAATAGAGTGGTGATTAACGATGACCCCCAAGCCCTGGTGCCACCATCATCATCAACAACTCCATGACCTTAGTAACCACATTTCCATGACAATAACAGGGCAATATCAAACCCCTCTTCCTTTTCCACCTCACTTTCCCCCAAATTCTGCCACAAAGAGCACGCTCGGTCCCCCATGAAGCTCTATCTCTATAGCACTATCCTCGTGCTTCTAATCAGTCGTGGCTGCTCCGATTCTTCCATCAATGTAAGCCGCAGGTTCAGTCTTGAATTTCCGATGGATTACATTAATGGATTCAATGGAAGAGCTTTTCTTTTGGAGACAGACCAGATGTTGCCCAATTTCAGAGCTGCATTAAGTGTTGAAGCTATAAATGGGAAGTATTCATGTTCTTTAAATGTCTTTCTTGGGGATGTGAAGGTATGGAACTCTGGTCATTACTCGCAGTTCTACACGTCTGATATATGCGAGGTTGAGCTTACTCAAGATGGAGATTTGCAGCTCAGGGGTCCCGAAGGAAAAATTGGATGGCGGACTGGAACTTCTGGACAAGGTGTGAAGGTAAACCATGTGTTTGTTTGACCTAACTGTAACCTTTGTAAAACTATTATTTGAGTCGGGCAGAGTTTTTCATGCACAATTTTTTTAGAAATTCAGTTTCTACAAAAATTAGAAGAGCTTTTGCAGCCCCGAAACTGTTTTAAAAGTTAAGCAAAATGGGATTAGGTGACGTGCCTTTACTAATGCAGAGTTGTTCTTTGTCCTACTAATGCAGAGATTGCAGTTACTTGGGACCGGTAATTTGGTCCTCGTTGATGCTTTGAACCAGATAAAATGGCAAAGTTTTAATTTTCCAACTGATGTAATGCTGTGGGGACAGAAACTGGATGTGGCTACTTGGTTAACTTCATTTCCAAGCAACTCAAATACATCCTACACCTTTGAAATTCAGCACAACAGGGTTGCTCTTTACCTAAATTCAGGTGACTTGAAGTATTCTTACTGGGAATTCAAGCCTTCCAAGAACAGAAACATCACCTTTGCTAAATTGGGTTCGAAAGGATTAGTTCTGTTCAGTGAAAAACACAAGAAAATCGCGCAGATATCTTCATATAGAGCTCAGCCTTTAAGGTTTCTGGCATTGGGGAATCAAACAGGAAACTTGGGGCTTTATTTCTACTCACCTGAAAAGGGACAGTTTGAAGCCTCATTTCAAGCACTCAACAGAACCTGTGATCTTCCTTTAGCTTGTAAGCCCTATGGGATTTGTACTTTCACCAATACTTGTTCTTGCATAAGATTCCTAACCAAGGGAGATCAGAACCATGATGGCATAAGTTCTGGTTGTGGTAAGGGGATTTCAAGAGGATTCTGTGGGACAACTCAAATGGAAATGCTTGAATTAAATGGGGTCAGTAGCATACTAAGAGATGCTCCAGGGAAGGCTAATATCAGCAAGCAAGAATGCTCGAATTCGTGCTTGAATGACTGCAAATGTGCTGCTGCATTGTATTCCTCTTTTGTTCAGGAATGCTACTTTTACAGAATGGTTGTAGGGGTCAAACAGGTTGAGGAAGGAAGTGGGTTGAGTTATTTGGTGAAGGTTCCAAAAGGAAGCCATGGAAATCCCAGCAAAAACAGTGTAAAGCAATGGGTTTTGGTGTTGGTTGGTGTGGTTGATGGGTTGATAATTCTGTTTGTTTTGGGAGGCATTGCTTCCTACTATTTGATTCAGAGAAGAAATAATAGTTCTTCTCTTACTGACAATACATGACATCCTGCAATTTTCCCTTTTTTCCATTCATTTTTTCCTGTTTGGAAATTAACAAAAATGAAAAATACAGTTATTTTGAGATTCTCATGTTGTTTAATCCACCATCATAAGATTTCCACAATTTTTTTTTAGGCCATCAGATTTCCCCCAAAAAAAAAAAAAGGCAGAAGACGACCACAAACTCAATGAAGGTTTCCATTAGGATTAGATACGGGCAGTAAAGTGGTAGTCAGACTGGAAAGATAAGAATAACCAAAAAAATAAAACTGTAAAGATAAGTTTTTGGGCTTTAATGAGCTGGGCTTAAAGAAGGCTGCGCCGAAGATCTAGGCCTACGTGCAAAGATGCCCTCTCCCAAGACCCAAAGCCCCTAAAAGAAAATACTTCTTGTCATTGAAAACTACTTTAAGAACATATTTAGTATAGCGCTTGGGAGATAACGGTTAATAATTTTGTTTAAATTATTAATAATAGATATTTAATAAATTTATTTATTTTAAAATTATTATAAATTAAGTGTTTAATAAAATTTTTTATTTAATAATTTAAAATTAGTAGATAATAATTAGAGTCCAAACAACTAGTAGATTAAAAAAATTATTTAAGGTAATTTTTTGTA